CCCGCCCCATGTGCACGAACGCTGCGTGATCCTTCTGAATCCCACCTCAAGCCCGCACATCAGCATCCCGTCGTCCTTCGGCGGAGCTTGTCAGCATGCAACCAGCGCGGTCGTCCCTGGACGGCTTCTCCGCCTCCAACTCGGCATCCAGACAACCGCCGCACACGCGCATGCCAGCTATGCCGCCCGCTTCCAACATGCTCCCGCCCGCCCAGTCCACACTTCGCTTCCCCTCCCATGCCCCGCCTCTTCAAGCCGCAGCTGGCAACGAGGCTTCCATCGCGCCTTCAGATGGTACCCGCAGATCCTCGCATGCCACACAAGCCGTTGTAGAACGCTCTCGTCAACCATCCACAAGCAGCCCAGCTCAGTCTTCATCTGCATCCACCTCCAACTCCCAACACCGCTCAACGGCCCCTCACACCAGCAACAGATCGAGCAGCAGCAGCAGCACCTCCCCTTCTGCCACCGGCGCCGCTCCATCTGCAACGCCTTTGCCGCCTCCATCCCCCAGCACCACACTCGGCAACTACCAGCTCGGCGATTGCCTTGGACGTGGCGCCTTCGGTTCAGTCTACCGCGGCCTCAACTGGATGAACGGAGAGACCGTCGCAGTCAAGCAGATCCAGCTAGGCAACATCCCCAAATCAGAGCTCGGCGAGATCATGTCCGAGATCGATCTGCTCAAGAACCTCCACCACCCCAACATCGTAAAGTACAAGGGCTCCGAGAAGACCAAAGATTACCTCTACATCATCCTCGAGTACTGCGAAAACGGCTCGCTCCACCACATCTGCAAGCGCTTCGGCAAGTTCCCAGAAGGCCTCGTCAGCGTCTACATCTCCCAGGTCCTCCAGGGCCTCGTCTACCTCCACGACCAGGGTGTCATCCACCGCGACATCAAGGGCGCCAACATCCTCACCACAAAGGACGGTTCCGTCAAGCTCGCCGACTTTGGCGTCGCCACAAAGACCGGCGCAATGAGCGAGTACGCCGTCGTCGGCAGCCCCTACTGGATGGCTCCCGAAGTCATCGACCAGAGCGGCGCCACCACCGCCAGCGACATTTGGAGCGTCGGCTGTGTCGTCGTCGAGCTTCTCGAGGGCAAGCCTCCTTACCACTTCCTCGCCCCTATGCCCGCCCTCTTTCGCATCGTCCAGGACGACTGTCCGCCCCTTCCAGAAAGCGCCTCGCCCGTCGTCAAGGACTTCCTCCTCCACTGCTTCCAGAAGGACGCGAACCTTCGCGTCTCCGCTCGCAAGCTCCTCCGCCATCCCTGGATGTCTAGTGCTCGCAAGCAGCTCGACCAGCTCAAGTCCGGAGGCTCGCTTCGCGTAGGCGCAGGTGGCACCTTCAACACCCCACACGAAGAAGCCGTCAAGAGCGTCCAGGAATGGAATCAGGCGCTCAAAGAGCCACCGAAACAAGCTGTCCAGCGCCTCCAGGACCCAGACACGGTTCGCGCTCCCATCCAGCCAAGCCTGCGTAGGGTCAACGCCATCGCTGCCGAGCTGGGCACAGCCAAGCCCCTGGCTCGCAAGACGCGCCATCCAACTCGCCCCACCCTCCCACTTGACTTCAGCCCTCCGCCCTCCGTGCCTCGCAAGGACATACGTCTCGACACTTCCTCCAGGCCGGCATCCAGACTCATCGACGCCGTCTCTCGCTCCCCAAACGCTGCCAACGACCCTGCAGTAACAGCGCACTCGCCACTGGTTGCGCTTGCTCCGATGACCAGGCAGCCGTCTTCGCCCGGAAACGGTTCTGGATTCCGCACTCCCCTCGCCGGCGCCACGCCCGCCACATCCTTGATGGATCAACGTGTGAAGCTCGCCGATCTTCAGCAGCCCGAGCGACCCGACGACAACTGGGACGACGACTTTGAAGAGGACATCACCACGACCAAAATCGCCGCTCTCGAAAAAACCAGTCTCCCCTCGCAGACACCCTCTTCGTCCTCCGCCAAGGCGGACTTCCGCCCCTCAAGTGAGGCCACCACGGCCGACTCTTTGGCAGCGGGAGGATCAACTCGGCATGCGGACCTGCCAGCCTCGCCATCTCGTCCCTCGGCCAGCGAGGCCGACTTTGACCAGCGCACAATCAGGCCCCTCTCGGGTCCCATTCTGCGCTCGGTATCATCGTCTCCTCAAGTGCGAACGCTGAGTCAGAAACCGACGCCTCCCTCCACCACGCTCTCCAGCTTCTCGGCAGACGACGAGGAAGACTATTCCGACCTCGTCGGAGACGGACAGGAGGATCTCCTCAACAAGCGCATTCGAGACTTGCAGATGAAGAACAGCGCCGGCAAGCGCCTCTTTCATCCCAACGACCTCGCTCGCCCCTCGACCTCCAAAGCAGCACCCAAGGTGTACAATCTCGACACAGCCGATCCCGCCTCTGCCTCGCCTTCTCGTGCCATTGACCGCCGCAGACAGGCTTCGTCCGAGGCGCTCCGCAATTCTCTCGGCGCATCTGCTACCCGCCCTCCCTCGAACCCGAGCAGCCCCCAGGCGACACTCCGGCTCGAAAAGGACGAAAAGTGGAAGCAGATGCGACGCACCCTGGGCAAGTACTCGGAGGATCAATCTGCCGAAGACTACTCGGACCTCTTCGGCAACGCAGATGCACCAGGAAACGGCAAGGAGGATGCCAATGTCAGCGGAGGCAACACGCTCCAGCTCACCGCCCGCCTTTCCAACCGATCCTGGCTGCGAGACGACGAAAACGACGAGGACGATCCCTTCGCCGAGATCGACGAGGGCTTCAACGCCGAGGCCGACATGGAGGCCAACGTGGCTCGCGACCAGCACGCACGCATGTGTGCCTTCGTCACCGAACTCGTCGAATCGCTCGACCCGCGAACCGAGGTCGACGAGCTTCTCCAGGTGTGCGAGGACATCGACCAGATCCTCACCGACATGCCAGAGATGAAGGCGCAGCTGCTATCGTCCCACGGTGCTCTCGCATTGATCCAGCTGCTGGAGGCTGCCGCAGACCGCGAATTGGCCACGCGGCTGCTCGGCATCCTCAACCTGATCATCTTTGAGGATCCCGAAGCGCAGGAGAACCTCTGTCTGATCGGTGCGATTCCGGTGGTCATGACGTTCACCACCAAAAAGTGGCCGCACGATCTGCGCTTGGAGGCCGCGCACTTTGTGTTTGCCATGTGCTCCACTTCGCGCCTCACGCTGCAGTTTGTGCTCAGCTGCCGCGGCCTGCGCACGCTCGTCGGGCTCATCGACGAGGACTACCTCGAGCAGAAGGACTTGGTCTGGATCGGCGTCGGCTGCGTCAGCAGTGTCTTGGAGCTGCAGAGCCCGGCTTCGCGCAACGACTTCTGCCGCATGCTCGCACAGGAAGGCCTGCTGGAGCCGCTCTCGTCGGCTCTGCAGAGCGTCATCGCGGATGACGAGGATGGCTACGCGTCCGAAGCACGCGCCGACATCTTGCAGATTCTGCTCATCTACTCGCAGTCGGACAACTTCCTCAAGAAACAGGTTGCCACGCGCAGCGTGCTCCGGCGCATCCTGCGGTCGGCGTCCATGCTGGACTCGGAAGCGTTGACGCTGATGCTCAAGGTGGTCAAGAACCTCTCCATGTCGCCGATGCTGCTGGACGAGATGCAGAACGCCAACACGATCGAGATCCTGTCCAACATCCTGGCGCAGCACCACAGCGGTCCGCACGGCACCGAGATCTCGAACCAGGTGCTCAACACCATGTACAACCTCTGTCGGCTCTCCAAGTCGCGCCAGGAGGAGGCGGCGCAGGCGGGCGTGATTCCGCAGCTGCTGC